TGTAATGGTTCGGTACCGCTATGCAGATGGGAAAAATGTATTGCTGTAATAACCGATCTGTTAAGCGAATCAAGGCACTTGAATATTTGTTGTGGATCATCAGCAGAATGAAGAAGCTCTTGTTTCTGAGACAGAATCTCAGGATGAAGCTCAGGTTGGCCTCAAACTTGTGATCCTCCCTCCTCAGCCTCCGTGTACAGGTGTATGCTACTCCACCTAGTTCCCGGATGAGGAACTTGTCTGTTTTTCTTACAAGAGCTACATAGCACACGAAGACCTTGGGTGACATCTCAATCGTGTCATAACACATTTATTGTTAGTTGACATTTATGGTTTTCTGAAATATTTATTTCATTCATTCTTTCTGGAAAATTGATTTTATTGAATAACATAACTGGGCATTGGCGGGTTAATGTGGACAATGATACGTAATGAATTGTTAAGTATTGGGGGGAAGATGCACAGTATCATATCTGACACAAAGTGGGGTAGTCAAAGTCACAGGACATTTATTCCGCCCTTTTTAAAAAAGGTCATGCATTTATTTTTATTTGTGAGTGTGGGGCTTTGTGAATAGCTGTGTGCTGTGTGCATGCAGTGCCCATAGGGACCAGAAGAGGGCGTCAGACCTCCTGGAACTGGAGTTACAGAGGGTTGTGAGCCACTGTGTGGGTGCTGGGAACCGAGCCCAGTTCCTCTGCGAAAGCAGCCTGTGCTCTGAATTGCCATTTCTTCAGTCCAATGGATGAACTCCTCCCCACACCCCTCCTGCCCCAAGAATCCCTGGTCTACAGAGTGAGTTCCAGGACAGCCAGAAAAAAACCTGTCTTGAAAAACAAATGAACAAACAAAAAAATCAAAACAAACACACACACACACACACACATACACACACACACACACACACACACACACACACACACAGAATCCCTAAAATTGACTGTAAGTTCTGTGAACACAAATACGACAGTGATGAAATTAAGCTGATTTCCATATCTGCCAACTATTTTAAGGAAAACTCTCCGTGGAGTGAATTTGTGCAGCAGACACTCGTGAGCAGCTCTGTGTGCAGCACTGTGCTGCGAAGATGTAAAGTTGACAAATTCCCAGCCATGCTCTCCAAGCTCTTATAGTTTAGTGAAGGAGGAAGCAGGTAATATAAGACCCGCGGTGACAGAGGATGAAGAAACATGAGCATCAGGGAAGCAAGTGTGCAGCTCAGGGAGGAAAGAGGAAGGGGGTGAGAACTTGGGGCATGCTTCCTCCACAAATTCTGGGAGGAGAGAGAGAGACAGAGAGAGACAGACAGACAGACAGAGAGAGAGACAGAGAGACAGAGAGACAGACAGAGACAGAGAGACAGAGAGAGAGACACAGAGAGACACAGAGAGAGACACAGTGAGAGAGAGAGAGACACACACACACAGAGACAGAGAGAGACAGAGACAGAGACAGATAGACAGAGACAGAGAGACAGAGAGAGACAGAGAGACAGAGACAGAGAGACACAGAGAGACAGAGAGAGACAGACAGACAGAGAGAGAGACAGAGACAGACAGAGACAGAGAGAGACAGAGAGACAGAGACAGAGAGACAGACAGAGACAGAGAGACACAGAGAGACAGAGACAGAGAGACAGACAGAGACAGAGAGACACAGAGAGACAGAGAGAGACACACAGAGAGAGACAGAGAGAGACAGAGAGACAGACAGAGAGACAGAGAGAGACAGAGAGACAGACAGAGAGAGAGACAGAGACAGAGAGACAGACAGAGACAGAGAGACACAGAGAGAGAGAGAGAGAGAGAGAGAGCGCGAGCGCCGGTTGGTAACTAATGGGCAAGCAAGGCAATTGTGGTGGTTGAAGGAACAGCGAGAGAAAAGGAAGCCAGAGAAGGTTGTGAGTTGCTTGCGCTGCTACAGCCTGGAGAGCCGTCAGTGGCTGAGTGAGTGAGCAATGTCATGGTGAGTGCTTGATGGCTTATATTCCACTTTCCCAGTTAGGAAAAGTTTTGTCTGCGGTTAGAACAAAGTATTCTTTTTCTTTTTTGAGGGCAGATGACCAGGGATTTGGAATATGTTTCAGAAAATAATGACTATGACTGAGTGTATCGGAACTCTGAACCTGGGATGTGTGAGAAGCGGAAGAAGGGTGTGTGTGTTTGTAGGCTGCACTTGATGGGAAGTGCAAAAACGGACTGGTGATAACCTGACTCATCTTTCAGAGTGATTCACTTCCGTCCCTCCCCCTGTCCCTCCCCCGTCCCTCCCTCCGCCGCTCCCTCCCTCCCTCCCTCCCTCCCTCCCTCCCTCCCTCCCTCCCTCCCTCCCTCCCTCTCCCTTCCATAGTGATGGGGTTAGAGAACAGAAGTCTTGTACATGAAGGCAAACATTCTCATTGAAGAACGCCCCAGCACAACTGCTTTGTATGTTTCTAAGGAGAAGTAATACAAAAAAAAGAAAAATCTTTTTAGTACTCTCTTGTTTTGAATTGATTCATTAAAAATGTGAAATGGTTCTGAGTGGGTATATCACACTCAAAGAGAAGAACAGATAAGGACAATGTCTCAAATTTGGATAAGGAACCCAGGTTAGGGAATCCAGAGAATCGCAGTGCTCCTAGGCAAGGCCTTAGCAGGGCAGACCTTTAGGATGGGGCTTTCTTTGCTGGGCCGTAGGATGGCAGGGAGAACTCCTAAGGATCAGTCTGGAACACTGGAGGACCAGATGAGGCCCCTTGAGTTGGCTCTCATGTGACTGAGACCTCTTCACACCCACTCCTCTGTGGTGTGACTGAAGTAAGCACGGTGTTGCCCTTGGTGGTGGTGGGCAGAAAACCTGGCCTAATGGCTGCCGTGACAGCGTTTATTAGCTATTTGCTGAACGCTTCACTATAGGAATAGGTTTGGCAGTCTTCCTCAGAGGCCATAGCTGTATCTGTGGCTTATTTTCATTTATTACATTTTACGCTCAATTATAAATAATAACTACTTTTTGGAACCAGCCGTGAATTTGGAGGACCGTGAAGTACTTTTCACAGGCAAGAGCGAAGCGGTTTGCACAGACACATTCCATAAATGTGGGTCGAGTTCACCCGTAATGGTTGAATTAGTTCCCCGGTTCCTATTGTCTGTCCACTGTAGGTTAGGGATAAGAGGTCATGGCCGGTGCTTCCTAGAAAAGGTCACAGCAGACAGCGGGTAGGAAAGTACTTCAGCCATATCTGTACATGCTCTGGTGTGTTGGTGTTTCCTTCAACCAGTCAACAAGGAAGTGCAAGGGCAGCATGCTCTCTCTTGACTAGCCGTGGTCAGTCGAGGCCTGCAGCGAGGCCTGCAGCTCTTTCTCCAGTGTCTGACCATTGCCCTGTGGCTCAGCTTCTCACGTTAATAATGGTTCAGCTGCATCCTTATGCTTCCCTCGTCTTGTTCTTTCTCCCTTGGTTTTATGTTTGTTTCCCCCCTCCTGGAATGTTTCTTTTTCCTTTTCACCTGAGAATCACTGTCTTTCAGGATTAGTTCAACTGCTCCCTCTTCTTAAAAACCTTCTAGAGATCTTCTTTACTTCTGAGATTTTATGTAAGAAAACCCTCTCAGCACAGTTCCCAAATAACTCACCTATAGAAAACACAGGGTTGCAGTCTTGTGAGATGCCTGTGAAATGATGGAGTGAGTGTGACATAGAGGGGAAGTGGACCACTGCGTTATGGGAATGTGCGGTACCAGGAGAGGCATCATCAACACAACTCCACCCTGAGCATGCTTCTCTAGCAACGCCTCGAGGGTGTCATGACTTGTCTTTGCTTGGATGTGACTGGCTCTGACATTGCCCTGTACCTTCCTAGGGTACCAATCTTTGGGTCTGAACAATCTTTGGGCCCTTCACAGAGCTCTTCCTAATGCTGAATGCATAGTGCTCTTCCTGGTGCATGAGTCAATGAAGTTTTTTTTTTTTAATGAAACGTTGAATAAATTCAAGAGTTTGTTAATATACTAGACCGAATTCCCTGGATAATGTGAAAAGAGTAAATTGGTTTACTTTTTTAGCCTTTATGCTTTTTGCAATCTTTTTATTTTCCTTATCACTCTTGCATGATAAATTTATCACAACATACAGTTAATACGCCTTTCCTTCCCAGCCCCATCTGTTCTCCAGAGAGATTCATCTACTTCCTTATTGATTAGTAATTGCTATATATCATTATGTACAAGGTGCCATGCTTGATAAATTGAGTGGTTGTTCAATGATGTGAAGGTGAGCCTATTGCTCATAAGGACTTTGTACGTCGATAAGCCTGTTTTCAAGTACATGGTGTGTATGTTGGTGTCACTAGGTGGCCAGAATTCGTGGAAGAAGGCTTGGGAAGGTGGAACAAAGGTGAATTACGGAGGCTTGGAGTGAGAGTTTCAGGCCACACTGTGGAGTTACTCAAAGATTTTTGAGCAAGGAGGTGTTGGGGACATTAATCCGGTCACCCCTGTGCTGGGCATGGAATATGCTTCTGTTCTGTAAAATAGAGCCTGGATGCCTTCTTGCTCTCTGTGGAGAATCTGTCCCTTTCCTGTCTCTATTGTGTAGAACTTGCTCTGCCATTTGATGTTTCTTTGAAGAAAGCTTAGAGGAGGCCTGTTCAGTTTCACGGTAGTTCTGGCATGATTCTGAGATTTTGGTTGATGGGTGAGTACTGTAGACATCTTTACAGGCTGCATGTGGGTAACATTTGAATGGTGCTTGACACCAAGCCTGAGCTATTTATACCATATTATGTTTTAATAAGAAAGAAAGAAGGAAACCACTGTGGTTTCAAAAAAACTTTTAAAGTTGTAAAAGTTACATTTGCTTATTCTCTCTCTCTCTCTCTCTCTCTCTCTCTCTCTCTCTCTCTGTGTGTGTGTGAGTGTGTGTGTGTTTGTGTGTGTGTGTGTGTGCACAGTTCACACTGCATGTGTGGAGGTCAAAGGGAAACTCAGACTATTCAAATCTCTCCTTCTACCGTGCAGGTTTCAGGAATTGAACTGGGGTCATCAGGCATGGCAGTCAGTAAGTACCTTTACCCCTGAGCCATCTTGCTGGCCTCACTGTGGTTTGAAAGGGGTTGCTTCAGAGGAGAACCCGGCAACCATACAGTGCATACCAATTCCAGCTGTTGGCCACTGTAAACTGAGAGGCAGTGAGTACCTTTTAAAAAATGTTAAGACAGCTCTCCGGCTTATGGGGCAGAGGTCTGTTCCTGTGTCAGAGAGATTCTTGGACCTAGAGGAGGGAACAATGTTAGCTCTTTATAGTTGGAATTCATTGCTAATAATGACTTCTCCCAAGGACAGAGCCAAACTCTGAAATCTTAGTGCCTAAGTGCATCATTTCGGTTTGTATGTTGAAACCAAACTTTATCCGAACAAAGGAGCCGTGTTCATGTGATGATGATGACGACGATACAATTAACAACAATTAAGTAGGTACCTTTATTGGGTGATCACTAGAAGCAGGGCAGCTTACAGGACCCCACCCCCCAGGAGGAATTCTGGCAAGAATGGGCTGGTCATGAACTTGGATGTGAGGAAGAGAGTCATTTCATCTCACAGGAGGGCAGCACGATGGACTTTTAGAGCAGACATTTCTTTTCTCTGTATCTGGGAAGCCACTGTTTTCAAGGTGCTCTCCAAGCAATAGGCTTTTCTTCAGAGCTTCCTTAGGTGTCAGTAAGCTGGTCCTTCTAAGTATCCAATCCTTTGGCTTTTCTAACTGCTGTACTGAACATGTTAGCTTTGAGAAGTGGCTGCCCTCCAAAGGTACCCTTTTCCCTCTTTGCATGTGTCTAATGTGTGTGGGTGTCTTGCCTGCAAGTGTGTCTGTGCAGCATGTGCAAGCCCCGTGCCAGAGAAGGCTGAGAGAGTGTGTTGCATCCCCTGGAACTGGAATTACAGATGGTTGTGAGCAGCCATGTGTGGTCTAGCAATTGAACCTGGCCCCTTTGCAAGCGCACGCGGCGCTCCGAACCGCTAAGCCGTTTCTCTAGCCCTTGTTATTTCTCTTCATTTTTGTGGTGCCAAGAGTTGGCCTCATGTGCGCTAAGCCATTGCTCCACCACTGAGCTATAGCTGGAGCCCTGAACAGACCATGTACAGATCTGCTAAGTGCAAGAAGGATGTGGGTCCATAACAGCTCAGATCATTAGATTCTGCCCATGTGCTGCCATGCTTTCCTCCACAAGCTCTAGGTGCCTGTTAGCCCTTTCTCCCCAAGCACCGCCTCCTAAAGCACAGCTCCACGAGGACTAGCATCTCTTTTCCTCCTTACTTTTATTTTGTAAGTGTTTTGCACACATGTGTGTCTGTCCACCACATGCATGCCTACCGCCAGAGAATGCTAGAAGACTACGTCAGATTCCCTGGAACTGGAGTTACAGACGGTTGTGAGCTGCCACATGGGCACTGGGAATAGAACCTGAGACCTTTGGAAGAGCAGTCAGTGCTTTTAACTTCTGAGCCATCTGTCCAGCCCCTCATGTACCATCTTAATATGCTTTTCCTATATGTATCCTGCTCCTGACTTACCATGATTTGGTTTATGATTGTTGAACTAATGATTATTCCCCCCCCGGGGGGCAGTGTATTTTTCTCATGATTGTAGGTGGTGCAGCTAGCCACAGCTCCCACTCTGCTAGCTAGCTACAGGACCACAAGAAGGTCTATGTTCATGCTGCAGTATGCTGTGTATGCATGCAGTATGCTGTGTATGTGTGCAGTGTGCTGTGTATGTGTGCAGTGTGCTGTGTATGTGTGCAGTATGCTGTGTATGTGTGCAGTGTGCTGTGTATGTGTGCAGTATGCTGTGTATGCATGCAGTATGCTGTGTATGTGTGCAGTATGCTGGGTATGTGTGCAGTGTGCTGTGTATGTGTGCAGTGTGCTGTATATGTGTGCAGTATGCTGTGTATGTGTGCAGTGTGCTGTGTATGTGTGCAGTATGCTGTGTATGCATGCAGTATGCTGTGTATGTGTGCAGTATGCTGTGTATGTGTGCAGTATGCTGTATATGTGTGCAGTATGCTGTGTATGTGTGCAGTATGCTGTGTATGTGTGTAGTATGCTGTATATGTGTGCAGTGTGCTGTGTATGTGTGCAGTATGCTGTGTATGCGTGCAGTGTGCTGTGTATGTGTGCAGTGTGCTGTGTATGTGTGCAGTATGCTGTATATGTGTGCAGTATGCTGTGTATGTGTGCAGTATGCTGTGTATGTGTGCAGTATGCTGTGTATGTATGCAGTATGCTGTGTATGTGTGCAGTGTGCTGTGTATGTGTGCAGTATGCTGTGTCTGCATGCAGTATGCTGTGTATGCATGCAGTATGCTGTGTATGCGTGCAGTATGCTGTGTATGCGTGCAGTATGCTGTGTATGCGTGCAGTGTGCTGTGTATGCGTGCAGTGTGCTGTGTCTGCGTGCAGTATGCTGTGTATGCATGCAGTGTGCTGTGTATGTGTGCAGTATGCTGTGTATGTGTGCAGTATGCTGTGTATGTGTGCAGTATGCTGTGTATGTGTGCAGTATGCTGTGTATGTGTGCAGTATGCTGTGTATGCGTGCAGTGTGCTGTGTATGTGTGCAGTGTGTTGTGTATGTGTGCAGTGTGCTGTGTATGTGTGCAGTGTGCTGTGTATGTGTGCAGTGTGCTGTGTATGTGTGCAGTGTGCTGTGTCTGCGTGCAGTATGCTGTGTATGTGTGCAGTGTGCTGTGTATGTGTGCAGTATGCTGTGTATGTGTGCAGTATGCTGTGTATGTGTGCAGTATGCTGTGTATGCGTGCAGTGTGCTGTGTATGTGTGCAGTGTGTTGTGTATGTGTGCAGTGTGCTGTGTATGTGTGCAGTATGCTGTGTATGCATGCAGTATGCTGTGTATGTGTGCAGTATGCTGGGTATGTGTGCAGTGTGCTGTGTATGTGTGCAGTGTGCTGTATATGTGTGCAGTATGCTGTGTATGTGTGCAGTGTGCTGTGTATGTGTGCAGTATGCTGTGTATGCATGCAGTATGCTGTGTATGTGTGCAGTATGCTGTATATGTGTGCAGTATGCTGTGTATGTGTGCAGTATGCTGTGTATGTGTGTAGTATGCTGTATATGTGTGCAGTGTGCTGTGTATGTGTGCAGTATGCTGTGTATGCGTGCAGTGTGCTGTGTATGTGTGCAGTGTGCTGTGTATGTGTGCAGTATGCTGTATATGTGTGCAGTATGCTGTGTATGTGTGCAGTATGCTGTGTATGTGTGCAGTATGCTGTGTATGTATGCAGTATGCTGTGTATGTGTGCAGTGTGCTGTGTATGTGTGCAGTATGCTGTGTCTGCATGCAGTATGCTGTGTATGCATGCAGTATGCTGTGTATGCGTGCAGTATGCTGTGTATGCGTGCAGTATGCTGTGTATGCGTGCAGTGTGCTGTGTATGCGTGCAGTGTGCTGTGTCTGCGTGCAGTATGCTGTGTATGCATGCAGTGTGCTGTGTATGCGTGCAGTATGCTGTGTATGTGTGCAGTATGCTGTGTATGTGTGCAGTATGCTGTGTATGTGTGCAGTATGCTGTGTATGCGTGCAGTGTGCTGTGTATGCGTGCAGTGTGTTGTGTATGTGTGCAGTGTGCTGTGTATGTGTGCAGTGTGCTGTGTATGTGTGCAGTGTGCTGTGTATGTGTGCAGTATGCTGTATATGTGTGCAGTATGCTGTGTATGTGTGCAGTATGCTGTGTATGTATGCAGCATGCTGTGTATGTGTGCAGTGTGCTGTGTATGTGTGCAGTATGCTGTGTCTGCATGCAGTATGCTGTGTATGTGTGCAGTATGCTGTGTATGCGTGCAGTATGCTGTGTATGCGTGCAGTATGCTGTGTATGCGTGCAGTGTGCTGTGTATGTGTGCAGTGTGCTGTGTCTGCGTGCAGTATGCTGTGTATGCATGCAGTATGCTGTGTATGTGTGCAGTATGCTGTGTATGTGTGCAGTATGCTGTGTATGTGTGCAGTGTGCTGTGTATGTGTGCAGTATGCTGTGTATGCGTGCAGTATGCTGTATATGTGTGCAGTGTGCTGTGTATGTGTGCAGTATACTGTGTATGTGTGCAGTGTGCTGTGTATGCGTGCAGTATGCTGTGTATGCATGCAGTATGCTGTGTATGCGTGCAGTGTGCTGTGTATGTGTGCAGTATGCTGTGTATGTGTGCAGTATGCTGTGTATGTGTGCAGTATGCTGTGTATGTGTGCAGTATGCTGTGTATGTGTGCAGTATGCTGTGTCTGTGTGCAGTATGCTGTGTCTGTATGCAGTATGCCCTGTGGTGGATAGCTCAGGTGTGACACATGCATTTTCCACTTGACTATGGCTGGTTGGGATGTCATCTCCCTGAGAGCTGCAGAACATTGTGCTGCTATTTTTCAGGTGTATATGACTTAAATGGTTGATGCCAGGGCACCATAATTTCAGAAAGGAGAAGAGGGGCATCTTGAGTGGACCTCCTTTCAATCCTGGCATTAGAAACTGTGGTAGAGCTTGCTGTGTCTCCTGTTATGTGAGACAATGACTGCTCAGAGGAGATGCTGATGAGGGGGAAAACAGGGTCCCTTGCCTCTCGTTTTCCTTGTAGACAGAAGACTTGAAAATGCAGCACGTGCTCCGATCCGAGTGCTTGGAAATCTGATCGTGGCACTCCATTTACTGAGTTACACAAAGTGGTGTCATCTAGGTGCTGGGACCAGGGGCCAAACGCACTCAGTCTCCCCAGCATGGTTTTAACTTTCTAATGCTTCAAAAGCCAGGCTACTGTTTTAGGTATAGAATTGTTCTAGAAAATAGCTACTTTAAAAATGGATGGAGTAAAATATAGAATTTTGTAATTTAGTTGCATCTGGAAAAGAATTTATTTGTGCAACCCCACAAAATTTTGTTTACTTTTTTAATTTTTGAAAAAATTATTACATTTGTATCTGGAAAATTAATTGTTAATCATAGATTTTTTTAAAAAGATGTTTTACACATGATTAAATTACTCAAAAACATTTCTA